AAATGATTAATTATACATTTTTAAATCACGACCTAGTAAAGGTACTATAGACATTGGATTCCCAGTTTTAGTTTTACTTCTAATTTTGCATTTTTTCATCTTTATGTAAAAGACCGTCAGCCGACCACCGACCACATGTACCCAACTGTGGAGAGTGACTGGTCGGTGGTCGGTGGTTTTCGTAAACCCCCAATTTACTGCAAGTCTAAGTGTAATTGACAAGAGATAGCGCCAAGTCTTGTATCTAAATGCTTGTTAAGCCGCTCAAAAACAAGATCCATATTTTCTAAATTTGATATCTTTGCAGAAAACCTGTTTTCATAACCTGCTTTCTGAGTCTAAATTCAAACTGAGTAGGATAATAGGATCGCTGGGATCCTCAGTCAATGGCAACGGGTCTTTCCAGAACTCACATTTTAAAATAAATAAAAAGAAACAATGATTCCCAAGATTGTTGAGCATCTGATTAGTGAGTTACAGGAGGAAGGGTGCATTCTAGGAGAATACAAGATAAATTCAACAAACAATGGAACTACTATTACATTGGAATATAAAGCACACCATTTTGGAAACCCAAGGTCACAAACCAGTACCAAGTCACCAAGTAGACTTATAAGAGATGCTAATAGGATTAGTGATTAGAATTCTAACAAAAAACTATTGAGTGAACCTAAACACCATGAGCAAAATGAATTAGGATTATATGAACAGTCAACACCTGTTACGTCTGTACTAAATAGAAACTTGTTTAAAAACAGAACTAATGAAAACAGTGAAATTGTAAACAATAACAATGAAACTGACACAGCAAAAAAAGGTGACAATGACAGTGGATTTACTTCAATATTGCAATTGCGGAATGCTGGAGATAGAATAACAAAAAGTGAGTGTTGGGATGCAAACAGATGTAAAACAAAAAAGAAACCAATCAAGTGCAACTGAAATAAAAGTGCAACATGTCGCCACTAAAACAAACAATTTGGATAAAAAACACAGAGGTTACAGTGTCAACATCAAGAAACAATCCGACAACAAATCAACACAATGCGAAAATGAAAAATATTCCAAACTTACAAACACTGATTCTATTTCAACACATGATGTCGCAGCGATAACAAACTTCAACCTCGCAACATGTAGGGAAAGATATATGCGCCTCATTAATGGATTGGGAGTGGATCATATGTATGATTCGGATGCCTATGATTATGTGATGGAGATGGACAAATAATGGACAAATTCTAGAACAAACAATTAACAATATGTGCCAAATCTTCAAATTCATGACAAGAAACAAGCAAGATGAATTAAGGGATGCAAATGATTTTTGTTTAAATGACTAGGTTCTTTGAGACTGTGACAATCATATAGGACTCTATCTATCTGGAAATCCAGTGGTATGGGTGTTGAGTAATTGAATCAAATCAACTTCATTCAACAATTCTCATTTTAGGCATATCAGAAGATCCTCTAGCCTTGTCAAGCTTTTCTTTGTAGGATTTGCTGTGTTATATATGAAGAATGAATAAATGATTTAAAAAAAAATAAAATAAAAAATCTGTAATTTCAATAAATTTGTATGTGGAACACTTCCCCAAATTAGGATGTTATAGTTTAAGTGTGAGTAAATTAATGAGTAATATATTGTTTTAAGGCTTTTTTGATCTAAGTTATCCTTTATTCTGTGAAGAACGCCTAGTATTTTGGATATCTTAGTCTCAACATGTTTTATATGCGGCTTCCAAGATAAATTTTCGTCGACTAGAGTGCCAAGAAAATTACTAACATTGGTTCTCTCTAATATAGTGTGATTCATATTTAAGTTTATTTTGTTGTAATCTATTATTTTGTTTGATGTTTTGAATACAATATAGTTAGTTTTTGATGCATTTAGGGCAAGTTTATTGCAAATGAACCATTCATTGAGTTCTGTATTGACGGTGTTATTTAGTTCTTCCAGATTTTTGCCAGAAAATATAATATTGGTATCATCAGCATAAAGAAACATTTTTGCAATATCTGAGCACTTGTAAATATCATTAGTATATATTATAAACAGCAGGGGTCCTAAAATTGTGCCTTGTGGCACACCACAGGACAAATGAAGAACATCAGAATCAGTATCGCCTTCTATTTGAACAAATTGAGTGCGGTTACTTAGATAACTTTCAAACCAGTCAGCTGCGAGACCTCTGATGCCATAATATTTCAGTTTACTCAATAAAATGTTGTGATTAAGAGTATCAAAGGCTTTTGAGAGATCACACATTAGACCAATGCAAAATTCTTGCTTTTCTAATGCCTTACGCACAGTTTCAATGTATTTTAGGACTGCCATATATGTAGAGTGGTTCTTCTTAAAGCCATATTGATGGGCATATAGGACATTTTGTCTCTCGAGGAAGTCAAAGATTCTGGTGTATATACATTTCTCAATTACCTTTGAAAAAAAAGGAAAGAAGTGAGATTGGTCTATAGTGGTTAAATAAATCAGTTCTGTCTTTCTTATGAATTGGGATTACCTTGGCAAATTTAAGACTGTCTGGAAATACTCCTTGATTAAAAGATAGATTAATGGTATACCATACAGGCATACTTAATGCATTACTACACGCTTTCATAACAATAGGCTTGAAATTATCTGGACCAGCTGCTGAGTCAGTCAGCTGACTAAATACTTTGGTTATTCCATTGTGGTCTACTGGATGTAGGAAAATTGAGTCATTAACATTTGTCATTTTATTTAGGAATTCATTAGGTGATGTATTAGAATTTCTTATCTTTTCAGCTGATTTACGCCCCACATTAGAAAAAAAGGTGTTAAAGCCATTAGCTATTTTATGTTTTCCCTTAAACGTTTGATCATCATCTGAGTAGAATGTGTCTGGTAGTGGTTTATAGTTTTTCTTTTTTCTTTGTAGAATTTCATTGAGTATTTCCCATGTTTTCTTGATATTAGATGAAGCTTCTGTGATTTTGGCTTTATAATACATTTTCTCAGATATTCTCATCAGGTGTTTTAAATTGTTATTGTATTCTTTGTAGACTTTCAAGTTTTCATCTGTTGATTTTTTTAAATATTTCATATACAATTTATTTTTACTTTTGCAAGATTTGATTATCCCTGTTGTAAGCCAAGGCTTATCACTGTTGAAGAATTGTTTTACTTTTTTAGTTTTTAGTGGAAAAGCCTTGTCATATTCGTTTGAAAGTTTCTGTTTAAAAATTAGATACGCATTATTAGTATCTTGACATGCAATGAGTTCCTGCCAATTAACTGATTCTAAATTTCGCTAAAAAATGTCCATAGATCTTTCATTTATCGATCTGAATTTTAACTGCTTGATATTGATTGTTTGCATGTGCTTCCCAGTTATGGCAAATATTGGGAAGTGGTCAGAGATGCTATCAATTAATATGCCTGCTAATTTTATATGAGGAACATTAGTGAAAATGTTGTCAATGAGAGTAGCAGAATAAGGAGAAACCCTGGTTGGTTTATAAATTAAGGGGAACAGATTATATGAAAATAACATGTTTATGAAGTCATAAGTAGAACCATGCAGATCAGCTTTTAGTAGATCAATGTTTGTGTCTCCCATTATGTAAATAGATTTACCCTCAGATGAAATTGTTTGGATGAAATTTTTTAATTCTTCATGAAAAGAGTTGACATTTATGTTTGGTGGTTTGTAGATGCAGGCAACTAGAATATTTTTTGAATTAGAATTGATTATTTCAACTACTGTGCTGTGCTATAGCATTAGCCATTTCTCAGAACCCGGAAATCAGAATCGCTGATGATTGCCATATTGAACATGTTGAAATATGTAGTGTAATCAATCTGTAATGCTATAGGTATTGCCTGCTACGCGTAATGGTCATGTGACTAGCGCGATACAGGAAAAATGAAGTTTTTCGAAACAACAATTTTTGGGCACTTTTACTGCAAATTCAAGGTATTTATAAGTGTTTGTGATATAAACTATAATCCACAAACATAAATGAACATCCAAACTACGTATTTTATTACGTTTTGGAGCCTTTTTTGCTCTTAAATTTACATCTTTAAATACAAGACAACAGCAATGCCAAAGCGTAGCAAATCCCTGGATCGAACAGCCATGGCTGGCATTTTTACAAACAAAGTATGAAGCAAAAATGGCAGCCATTTTTCATTTTTCTACCAAAAGTGTCATTAGACAGTGAACCATGCTTATAGTATTCACATACCAAATATGAACAAAATCACTCCACCACTTTTCGAGTTATAGTAAAATGCATTAAAATAGCGGCCATTTTTCAAAATGGCCACCATCTACCAAAAGTTTCATTAGACAGTGGGCCATGCTTATACTATTCACATACCAAATATGAACAAAATTGCTCCACTACTTTTCGAGTTACAGCAAAAATCGTAAAATAGCGCGAAAAGGCCGCTATTCTTCAAGATGGCTGCCATGTGCTTCTTTAATATCTACATTTCTAGCTTTATTAATGTCTTAATGTCCTATTTAATTTGCTGCCTTCTACCAAAAGTGTCATTAGATAGTGTGCCATGCTTATAGTATTCACATACCAAATATGAACAAAATCGCTCCACTACTTTTTGAGTTATAGTAAAATGCGTAAAAACGGAGTGACGGATGGAGGTGTCCCCTATATCCTTCCGAACTTCGTTCGATGGTATAATTATCTACTAATTTTCAAAATCTACTAAGTATAGAATAAATCTGGTTCTAGTTAATGTTTGAATAACAAATTGTAATTTGTATGATATGAAAAAAAGTATAGGATAAATCAGTTATCAAATGCTCGATTTTTGAAACGGGGTATATCCCTCGGTAAATACACTATATCAACCCTTGGTCCCTACCGTCCCTCGGATAGATTATATTGTATTTCCCTCAGATATACTCTGTATCAAAAATCTCCCATTAAATAACCTCTATATCTCCTGAGTCCTAGGGTACTCAGCTCTATCTCTTCAAGATACTCACCTCTATCTCTATAAGGGCAAGGAACATAGCAGCAGGTTTGTAAGTGATGCTCTAATTGTAATTTTCTAAATTTTCCGCACGAGTATTCGTTGTAAGGACATACCACTAAGGCATACATACATGTATTCTCATGTTCTTCTCTTTTGCCTATAATCAAAAGATCCAAAATGATTTTCGTACAAGTATCTGATCATGTTTCAAGATAGATTAAGTCTTCTCTCTTAAATCTTAAGACTCATTGATGATATCATGAATTATATTAATAATGATAATCTAGAGGAATTAATGGTAGCATTAGATTATTCCCGAGCGTATGATTCGTTGTCTAAAAGATACATTTTTGAGGTTGTCAAAAAACTTAATTTTGGGGAAGATTTCATGCGCTGGATCAAAGTTTTTAATAAGAACACTCCAGCAATGGTTTCAAACTATTGTCACTTCACAAATTCTTTTATATTAAATGCTGGTTTACGGCAGGGGTGCCCATTGAGTTCGCTCGTATTTTTATTAGCCACTGAGATTTTTTCTTGCAAAATAAGACAGGACTACAATTGAAGGTATAAAAATTAGAAATACAGAGAAGGCTATGAAATTAACATCATATGCTGATGACACTACAGTTTTCATTAAAAATGCAAAAATTTTTACTTAACATCTGGATTAAGATTAAATACTGAGAAAACGAAAGCAATGTGGTTGGGGAGCTATAAGGATAACAATAACAAACCATGTAATGTGAATTGGATAACCAGAAAAGATGAGCACTTAAAAATACTGGGTGTATTCTTTTCAAACCAAAAATCAGCTGCTACTATATCAGAAAATTGGGCACCACATATTGATAAAATTGGGATAAAAGAAACTTGTCCTTTCTTGAGAAAGTATGTTTAGTTAAATCACTTATTGCATCACAGGTTACACATTTACTATTAGTGTTCAAAGCTCCAGAGGAATTTTTGAGAAAAATAAATACTCTTATTTACAAAGTATGAGGGAAATTAGCACAACAGATTTTAGACAGTCATATGTTGGATTTTGGCCATTTTCTGAGGATTTAAACAATTACATATGTTAGGCCAATGCATAACCTCCAGGAAAATCACTTCTAGAGATGATAAAATAATATCGACTTTGAGACAGGGTAGATGCAAACAACCCACCCACATGTTTTTTCGGAAATGTTTTCCTGATTTTCGACCCCTTCCATCCCTGCTTTTTTATTTTTCTTGCATCAATATATTGCGTTTTGACACATAGTTAATCCCTTAAAAGGAATAAGTGATTCCTTTTAGATAAAGGTGAAAACAATATTTCCCATGTTATTTTCCCATAGGGAAAAATCATTGCTTTCAGCTACGTTTGGTCACCCATAATGGGTATCTTTAAAACCAACAGAGGAATCACTTATTCCTTTGAAGTGGTTAACAATGTGTCAAAACGCAACATATTAATGCAAGAAAAACAACAAAAAAAGCAGGGATGGAAGGGGTCGAAAATCAGGAAAACATTTAAGAAAAAACATGTGGGTGGGTTGTTTGCATCTACCCTGTCTCAAAGTCGAAATTATTTTATCATCTCTAGAAGTGATTTTCCTGGAGGTAATGCATTGGCCTAACATTTGCACCTGTTTAAATCCCTAGGAAATGGTCAAAATCAAACATATGACTGTCCAAAATCTGTTGCGCTAATTTCCCTCCTCCTTTATATGGCAAAAATCTGGTAAAGGAACAGAGAAAATTCAAAGAAATATTTTAAGGCAAGACTATCAAGATGGGGGAATTAGAATGACAGACATAAATGTTAGTCAGGAAGCTCTTGTATTGACATGGGTAAATAGGCTGTATAGTACAGATGATGCAGCATGGAAGTAACTTAGTAACTTATATTTAAATAGAATGGGACATGGCCTAAACTTTTTCCTGTATGATTCATTTCAAAGACATATAAGAACACAAATGTGTATAATATGTCCCCACCAATGGGTGATCCCGTCTAATGGTTATACTGAAAATGAGTAGACAAGACTTTACTGTTACAATTTTGGAATGTAAAATGCAAAATGGCCACCTTAAAATTTACCAAGAATGCCCAAAAAATTAGTCAGCTGTAGATTTTCATGCTAAGAACCATCCCTGAAAATTTGAAATTGATCCGTCAACGGTAAACCAAAAAACGCGTAAACAAGACTTTACAGCCAAGATTTTAGGAAGGAAAAATCCAAATTGGTTGCCTTGACATTTGCTCAGAATGCCTAAAAACTAATCACTTCTAGGTTTTCATACTAAGAGTCATCCCTGAAAATTTGAAATTGATCTACCAAATGGTTCACCTGAAAACGCGTAGACAAGACTTTACTGACAAGATTTTAGGACGGAAAATCCAAAATGGCTGCCTTGATATTTACCCAGAATGCCAAAAAACTTATAAGATCTAGATTTTCATACTAAGAATCATCCTTGAAAATTTGAAATTGATCTACTAAATGCTTCACCTGCAAATGCATAGACAAGTCTTTAGAGACAAGATTTTAAGACGGAAAATCCAAAATGGCTGCCTTGACATTTACCCAGAATGCCAAAAAACTAATCAGATCTAGATTTTCATACTAAGAATCATCCCTCAAAATTTGAAAATGATCTACCCAACAGTTCACCTGAAAACGCATAGACAAGACTTTACAGACAAGATTTTAGGAATAAAAAATCCAAAATGGCCGACAATAAAAAAGTGATTATAAGTTTTTTCTGATTTCTTTTTACAAAATTAGCACATATAACTACTGTTAACAATAACATAGGCTTTTACAATTAAGTACACCTGGAATTATTTATAAAGCTACTAAATAGTCTAAGTATAAAAACTCAAAAACACCATTCAATATGATACAAAGTATTATCGCACGCTAACTTTTCTTAAGACATTCAAAATGGCTGCCATAACTGGGCTAACAGGTCCAAACCTAATCAGATCTAGAATCAAGTGAGCTGAACAGGATGTTAAAGTTTTAAAAACAACAGTGAAGCCATTTTCTTAAAGTTTGCAGACAAGGATTTTAGCATTTGACTTCAAAATGGCCGACAGGAAGTAGGTATCGAGTTGAAACTTTTTCGTCCACATCTGTATGCACTCATAAGTTATCCCTGAAAATTTGAATGTGATATTGGTAGCGGTTTTGGAGAAAATTGCCGGACGTACGGACGGATGGACAGCCAGACGGACGGACGGACGCGCCTAGGCCGACAATATGGCCCCACACTATGTGGTGGGGACATAAAAACTTAAATCTGTTTCTAGATTTTCATACTAAGAATCATCCCTGAAAATATGAAATTGATCTACCAAACGATTCACCTGAAAACGGGTAGATGACAAGACTTTACAGACAAGATTTTAGGACAGAAAATCCAAAATGGCTGCCTTCACATTTACGCAGAATGCAAAAAAACTAATCAGATGTAGATTTTTATATTAAGAATCTTCCCTGAAAATATGAAATTGATCTACCAAACGGTTCACCTGAAAACGGGTAGACAAGACTTTACAGACAAGATTTTAGGACAGAAAATCCAAAATGGCTGCCTTGACATTTACGCAGAATGCAAAAAAACTAATCGGATGTAGATTTTCATACAAAGAATCATCCCTGAAAATTTGAAATTGATCTACCTAATGGTTCACCTAAAAACGTGTAGACAAGACTTTACAGTCAAGATTTTAAAACGGAAAATCCAAAATGGCTGCCTTGACATTTATCCAGAATGCCAAAAAACTAATCAGATCTAGATTTTCATGCTAAGAATCATCCCTGAAAATTTGAAATTGATCTACAGAACGGTTCACCTGGAAATGCGTAGACAAGACTTTACGTTACAGACAAGATTTTAGGACAGAAAATCCAAAATGGCTGCCTTGACATTTACCCAGAATGCCAAAAAAGTAATCAGATCTAGATTTTCATACTCAGAATCATCCCTAAAAATTTGAAATTGATCTTCCAAATAGTTCACCTGAAAACGCGTACATGTAGACAAGACATTACAGACAAGATTTTAGGACAGAAAATCCAAAATGGCTGCCTTTACATTTACCCAGAATGCCAAAAAACTAATGAGATCTCGATTTTTATACTAAGAATCATCCCTGAAAATTTGAAATTGATCCACCGAACGGTTCACCTGAAAACGTGCAGACAAGACTTCACAGACAAGATTTTAGGACGGAAAAATTCAAAATGGCCGACAATAAAAAAGTCCTTATGAGTTTTTGCCGATTTCTTTTTACAAAATTATCACATATAACTACTGTTAACAATAACATAGGCTTTTACAACAAAGTACATCTGAAATTATTTATAAAGCTACTAAATAGTTATCGCAAAACACTGCATAAGCAAGTTTAAATATGGAGAACATCCAAATATAGCATTTCTATTTCAAAACGAACTAGAAATGAGAAAATTATTGTGAAAATTTTTGTATTTTGTTGTTTTTTTTCTTCTAATACTCCTGACTTATAACTCTGTATTGTAAAATGTAAAATGTTGAAAAGGAAATAAAAAAAAAGAAAAAAAAAGATTAAGTCTTCTCTTTGCAAATGTATAAATTGTTAAATCAAGATAATAGGGGTATTCTAAAACTCACTCAGGGTAATCTTTTCTGGACAACCACTCTCATCCAAGACATAGTCCATCTCAGTGGGGGAGAATACCAAGGCATGACGACAGTAAATTTCTAAGTCACCTATTTGACCAACAAGTGCTCTGAAATAGTAATGTTATATGGAGAATAATTTCAAATTCAGCGACTTTCCGAGAAAGAGTTGAAGGCATGCGAGGCGAATCCTGGAAACCTGGGTCCAGGTCTGTGCAAAACTGCACTCATAATTTATACAACAGTGAACAAGTGGTTAACAATCACACCCGGGTGCGAATCCCTTATTGAAATACTCGTTTCATGGCCCAGGGTTTAATGCCACTCCAAAGGAAATAAGTGTTAAAATGAGGCCACGAAATATAAAAATTTGGTAAATTAGAATTTTATATGTGTTATTTTGTATCTACCAACAAGACGTTAAACATATCAAAAATAGTTATTTATTTTGACTGGTCTAAAATGTGCAAAGCTAATAATACATCAGTACAACGGCTACTAAAACAAAACAAAAAAAGATTGGCCAGTAGAGATTAGGAATGTGAAACATATTTATCTTTATTTATAAATATGGATAATATTTGATTTAAATACAATTCCATGCAATAACTATTCTCCGGTGTTGACAATTTCTGTTGTGTCAATCTGGGTCAAAATCTTACAATATACATGTAGTATTAATAACGAGGAACCCTTCTAATAAAAGCAATTAAATCCAGGTTTGAAAACTCCCAAAAATAATACGAACGACTCTAATCATGAACCGTTCATATTTTTGTAATTAGGCGGATTTTTAAAACTGCAAACACAGGTTTTGAGGGCGCAGCTTATGATACAAGTGCTTCTGATTTCCAGCAAATCAATTTGTCAAATGGTTCACTTGAAATGCTCAGCAAGTCTCTACAGACAAGATTTTAGGACGGAAATTCCAAAATGGCCACCTTAACATATATTTACCCAGAAAGCCCAAAAACTAATCAGGTCAATTAATGGAAGATCGGAAGCTGAGAAACAGTCAACTGTCAGATTCACCCTAGTTTTATCAGAATTTTGACTAATTTTGATACTATTCACCTTTCCACAAAGTAAAGAAAATCTAGAATTTACGGCGCGCTGATTGGTTGTATGCAAATGAGTCAAATCAATGACGTCAATGACGTTCTTCTGTTTTGAAGAATTAGTACAGCCAGCATAGGTCATCACATAACTAACTTATCCTATGACAAGTGAGGTTTCACAAGTGAAGTTTTCAGGACACCCTGTATATTCAGGTTTGTTTTCTAAGCGTTCTCATTACTTTCGAGAAATCCATCATCATTTTGGTTGAAGTCTCCTTCTAAAGTTTGAAAATATTTTTTATCATTCATTTACTATTTGTCATGACTTAAAACATTATTTTAGAGATCTTTGAAAAGAAAATTTTTTTTGAAAAAAAAGTTGTGGGCATTTCATTTCTCAAATATTCAAATTTTTTAATCATCAAATATTTCTTAATGCATTTCAAAAAAGATTATATTTTTAACGCCAATGCAAAGATTGAACAAAGGACACACTATTTCAATAATAAAATGCCATATTTAATGGGCCACTTCAATGTTTTAGCATATCAAAAATATTTTGAAACATTAGTGATGTCACTAAGGTAGCAAAAACTTTTTGAAAAAAATTGAAATTTTTTTTACGATGTCAATCTTTTCTCAATTTGCTAGACTTCAATAATCAAGCAATGTTGATTGTCTAACCAGGTTAAAAGGAAAATATATTATGTTTTAGATATCATTGTACCATTGGTTTCTATGAGAACTAAAATTTTGAAATGCATTTTTCTCGGAACCATTTTCATGCACTGATAAGTTCATTTCTCGCTTATTTATGAACCGATTTTCTTAATTTTTTCGGCAAAAAACATGCGGGGGATGAATGCTATGCATTGGTATGAATTGTGGCTAATTAAAAGATATGTGTGACCTCTTAAAGTCAGTTTTAAATAAATACACAAATTTTGGAACAAAAAGTCTATCAAAAGCCACTTTTTGAAATTTAAAAAAAAGTTTCACATATCACACTTTGATAACATTGGGTAAGACTACAATATAAGCCAAAGTGGTTTAAACTTTATATGGGGACTTTAAGAAAAATTCTACAGTCTACTGGATCTATTTTGACAGTTTTGCTTTAGCAAGATATTCTAACAAATTGACTGTTTCTACACTGAATAAAAAACATTTTCCCAGGAATATTTGGATCGGGAGATACGCATCAGGAAATATACATTGGAATATATCAATTCTATATTCCGATGTTTTCATGTATAATATTTTCAAGATACAATCTTATATGACTTGCAGAAATAAATAGGAAGTAATTGTGTTTAGTTGATTGAATTATGAGAGTAGTGAAGTCAATGATTAAATGAATAAGAGCAAATGTTTTTAATTTGAACAGGTCATTCATCAAATGACACTGACACTGTGGCTATTCGATCTATGTGGATGCAGTCAGGCACATGTAATGTTTCGTGAGTACCCGCCTCTGTACTTTTCAATGGAAGAATTTTGCACTTCTGTTTAAAATAATCTATATTTACTCATCCGTGTATATCATACTTCATTGATTTACAAAACCAAAGCTACGCTAAACACACATTCTCTGATATTTTTACGGAGAATAGATAACTCAAACGAGTTCACTCGACCAGTTTTATCATCTTGCTCATAGCTGTGAGAAGGTATGTATAATTTGCCATAGGTTTACCTTGTAACGGGGAATAAAAAATTCAAGTAATATAATTATTTCACATACACAAATATGTCTGTGTGAAGTAAAATACAAATACAATGCGTTCTATAATATTTTTGGAGTTATGGTATGAAATATCAGCTTTAAAAAAGCAATTTAATTATGATGTATCATGTGGATTAGTAGACGTTCTGATTGGATTCATTGAACAGACTGGCTAGGTTTCAATTGAATCATTTCGAATGTGTGTATTTTTAATATTTTAATCCACAGTGTCCGAAAACAATAATAATGCTATATTGGTAATTGGAAAAATTCCACTTACCACGATTTCAAAAAATTGTAAATAGATAATACTATTCTTGAATGATGGTCATTTGTTTCAAGGAATCTGGTGGCTCGTTCAGCTGAGCTGACAAAATCATCAAGATTTACGGATGGTCCATCTGTTGGCTGCTCATTGTCACCTTCAAGGAATGTTAATGGCTCTGAAACTGGTAGCCTTGCCCAAGTCGGTATTTATTTACTTATCTGATCTTGAATTATTACCACCTTGTACAATCCAATGTATCATCGCTGATATTATGCTAAGTTATTCAGCGGTTCCGAGATTCCCATAATACCTAGGCTACCTAAAGGTATCGCAAAACCATATTGATTGACAATATGGACATGGACACAACGTGTGACTTCAGGCTGATTGACCAATCAAAACGTTATCAGGTTGACCTGCATAAAAAAAGCAAACTACCCGTCTAGGACTTGAAATTCAATGATCTGATCGAGTGTTTCTTGAGAGTTACAATATATTATGTTATTAAATGTACATTTGAATGTAAGCAGTCATTAATACTCGTCTAAATGAAATCATGCAATTCAATGTTGATTCAAAATCAAAACTGAATTCGCGATGGAAATGCACGAAGACCTAGTCAGGCAATGTAGGATTTGTCAAATTTTACCGACAAAAACATTGGGTCGGTAAAGCACATGGCTTTCTCTTGGGTACAAGGCGGTCATAATAGAAATCAAGATAAGTAAAATAGACCGACTTTGGCAAGGCTATGAAACTTGATTTGTGGGTATTCCAGTGGGTCGATGGGTATTTTGCTCTGAATTCACTTCATTAGCGTACCTAATTTCAACATTTTCATTGTCATCATTACATGTTATGGACCCGTTTTTCAAATTAACAGTATCAGCGATAAAACCATAGTTTTTGGCTCACACAGTGAGACTATGGGATCGACCAGGCGTCCGTCCGTTGGTCCGTCCGTCCGTCCGTTTGGTCCGTCCGTCTGTCTACATTTGCTGCACAAATTAAAACTGCTATTCGGATTGAGTCATTTCCACATTCATTTTATGCATATCCATAATGTCTATTTGACCTATCATCGCCATTTTCCAAGTTCGCCCGGTTTCCGAGAAATTGCTGATTTTTAAATTTCGAGAAAAATCGATCTGATGATAGCCTTATAGAAAGTCAAGAGAAGTGAAGAAAAGATTGAAAAAATACCAGTCCAGTCCATTTCCAGGTCCAAGTCCAGGTCCAGGTCCAAGTCAAGGTCCAGTTCAGGTCCAAGTTCAGATCTGGGTGTAATCAGGTTTAAACCAGGTCAAAGGTCAAGAACTAGGTCAAATCCAGTACTTTGTCATTTTTTCAATTTTCTCAGTCGTCCTTGAATATTTTTGCTCCGTTTTTTTAATCATGTTCCTTGGAAAAAAGCTAATCCCTACAGGCAAGTTGTTTTTGATCACTCTTACCGTTTTTGAGATATGGCATCCGAAAAGTAGGTCACAATAAAAAGTTCTTGAAATTCAATGTATAAGTTATGAAATATGTGTAAAATTGTCCAAGGAATCCGAATCTGCAAACCAGATTTTGATCCGACTTCCGGTTCGGAAGTTATGGCATTTTGAAATCTCAAAAATCACTATTTTGGTATCCCATGTTAAGTCAATGGGGCTTGAGAAAATTATCAATTGTAACAACACAACACTAGATACAGCTTGGGTGCAGCCAACTTAATAAGAATCTACAATAGAAGCCGTCCCTCAAAATCTACTTTCCTTCAAAATTTGAACACTAAAAGGCCTAGGTCAAAATCTAGGTCAAATTCATAGTTTTTCTTTTGACTACAACAAATCATATCTGAACCAACAACAAAGGACTCATCTTTAATTGATCTCATATTTACCAATACTTTTGTTTGTAAATCAGGATATACATTCCTCTGTAGGTTCTACACTGTGTGAGCACAGGACCGTGGTCCTTTATTTCATCTGTAATGGCATTTTCCAGTTGATGGGTTTATATATAGTATTTTCAATTTTTCATGAGGGTGCCTTTAGACTACTTGTAATGGGGTGG